TTCATTATCTGACACTCTTTATGAGTTCTATGATATCGGAGGTTAATATTTTTGGCCATTTTTAGTGTATATTTATAATAATGCAGCAAATCTACAGTGTTTCATTAACCAAAACTGTTTTTCGCGTTTTTCTCGAGTTGAGGTTTTGACTGAGTACGACTCATTGGACTAGGACTAGGACATTCAAACTCGCAGTTATCGTTCAAAAGATAATGATGGTGCGAAATATGTCTGGGTTTTTAAAGAAAATGCTTTGTCACAGAATAAGAGTCTGTTAAAGGTGCCAAGTATGAAATAATTTGGGGACAAAAAAACAAACCTGCATAGAAATCAGAATAATAGGTCTTTTGATAACCGGGGACACATTTCAATGGACTTGATTATGGACAATGCATGACGTAAATTCCACCAGGAAATTCCGCAGTGTGCTCTCGCAATCGCGGACTTAGTCATTTTTACAAGGTTCACCATTTTTGATGTCACGTTATAATAATGTAAACAATGACTGTCCAGTTTGTGTGAACTTGTACCTCTATACTTAGTCTTTTGAAATATATAAGCTAAATTACTGTTCTGAACGAGACAACAGACAGAGAATGTTTTATTCGAAAACGTCACAAAACATTCTTGCTACCTTAAATGAAATGGAGAATTTCTTTTGGAAAATTACCTTTCCAGAATATTCCCAATAGCGACACTGTGTGGTTATTTGTTTAAATATAACCATATGAAGATGACCTAATCTTACGGGAATATTAGCTAAGACGCAATTGCATGGGCAAAGTGACTCTACACAAGACCTAATATCGTGTAAAATGCAATGTGAAAACTCATTAACAAGAGTCTTCATTGTTTTGTCATGTGAGGGGAACTGTAAACAATTGTGATGCACGACACGCACTATGATAGGAAATAACACATAAAGTCTTCAGTGAGAAGCTGTAACGGAGAGGCTTAGCCCCTCAATATGGGGGATCGTAATCCCTGTGGTTAACTTGACAAAACTAGATATGGTGCCCTCTGGAGACCTGAATGCACACTGTGCCCATCTTTATTCACTTGCTAGAGATATAATGCACAACATCGGTATATATCGTGTATGATATGCTTTCAGTGTCGAACTTTTGGTGATGGCTATTACAAATTGACGCTAATGACAAAGGAAATTTTTTTATTAATCTGAGAACAAAATTGATAATTACAGCTATTGTTACTTCAGATACTCATATTGTCATGCAAAATATGTATATTATATTTTGAAATTAGTTTATAGATATATTTAGTGGTCGTATTGTCAGTATATCCAGTATTATGTCAGTAATACAAAGATTGCTTCTAGCAATATGTAGTAGAATCTGCCTGCAGCTTTAAATCTTTTCCTTCATTATGTTCCAGAGATGCACCTTGTGGTCGTTTAATGTGTCAAGGTGGGGAAGACTTTCCAGTGAAAGGATCTTTAGCTTTGACACGACTCGGCTATGTTTATATTGATAAAGAAATGTATGTATGCAAAGCAGCGTCTGTAGATTTGGGAAGTGATGTACCAGACCCTGGTATGGTCCAGCCTGGAACAAAATGTGCTGATCAAATGGTATGTCACAAATGTTATTTTCTCGTGTCTAACTTTTTTTAGCTTCGCTGTCATTTTTGTCGAGTGAAGCTTATCATATGAGTGATTGTCCGTCGTCGTCCGTGTCAATGTTTTACCTTTTCAACTTCTTCTTGAAAACTACAAGCCTGAATGCTTTGATACTTTGTGTATATGTATCTTGCGTAGACCTCACTTAGATTTGCTCATTTTGTGATGATATGTTAAATTCTCTAATTTGTCATTTCGGTAAAAGGTGACATTTTAGACTTCATGTTGAAAGTTTGATGTCTTTGATATTATACATATAGGTACCTCACATGAACCCATCTCAGATTTGTTCATTTCGTGATGATATCTTCAATCCTATAATTAAAATGTGCATTGCTAACAGCGTAGCTATCTCAGTCGAGAGGCTGAAAAACATGGATATTGAACATGCATTTATCATATACATGTATTATACAAATGTATATAAACTCTGGATATACTAATATCCCTAATATACACATCATTGAATTCAGATGTCAGTTTTTATGATTAGATAATAGACCATTTTCCGTTCACTGCGAGAATCACGCGTTATGCGTGAAATCAAACAGGACAAACAAAGGTCATAGCGTCGTAGTGGCGTCAAACATCGCGTGAGATTCGACAAACGCGAAAGTATTTTGGGGCACATTTCCATGTCAATAATGTGCTGTACACATTTGATGATGGGCAATTTCGATTAAGTGAGGATATTCGAATGCAATATTCCTCTGTCAAAGATCGGCCGGTCGATGTGAGCTACGAAATAAAGAAATTCGAGTTCAAAATCAAATCGTTCGATTTTTGCGGCAGACGTTCGACGCGCGTCTTTCATGCATCTCGCGAGATCTCGCAGTTGTACGGAAAATCACCTATTGAAGTCAAATTCCGGGGACCAAATCTCATGGAACCCACTTTGACTTTACTTAAAGGGCAATGGCAGTGTTCTCCCCAGACTCCATGTCAAGCATCACGGCCAATTTGCATAACAATGCATCTAATTTGCATAATTTTTATTTGCATAATAATCAGTTTTTCCCAACAAATATTGTCAATCTACAATTAATTAAAGACAAGATATTTTTATATCTGATAAATTTTATATCATTTTACTGCATTGTATTTTTTGTTTTTGTATCAAGTCAAATAAAGTTTGAAATGGAACATCATAAAAAGGACAAAAAAATTGAAAAACTTGTGCTATAGCCAGTCAGTGAATATACTGTTATCCATGGATGTAACTGGTTCATCGTTGTGTATAAGTTTTAGTGCCCATGTCACTGTCGGTTCATATAAACGTCGGGGAAAACATTTTTTGGTTAAATATATAAAGTCGGCAAGATATCGAAATATGTTGAAATTAATAAATCAATAATTAAAAAATAATTCTACAATGGCAGTTCGGCGATTTTTCATTGCAATATACCTTATGAGTACAACGCTACGATCACCGTAACATTGTCAGCTGACGGCATTGCGTTGGACGGG